CCCAAAACAAATGAACCTTTCCAAATGAGTTTTTCCTATCACAACCAGGAAAAACTCGTTTTAAAGCAGTATCAATCAAAAAAATATATATTTGTCTTCTCTAAATCTCCCAATGCAGTTGAGGCTGAGAGCTGAGCTGCTGCACGCTTGTTTTTAGTTTAGGATCCCCACAGTTTTAATCTTTACAAGGTTTTTTTATATATCCGCAGAAGTCACCTCATCTCCAAAACAAACACCAGACAGTCAGATAAGAAACATTTACAGCTTTTTCATCTATAAAAAAAGTCAAAAAGCAAAACTCTCACTCTCCTAGTTTTGTGAAATCGTTTGATGTCAGAGGGGTATATTTTGACCCTCTGTTATGTGCTCTCCAGCAGAAGCCCCTAAAACATCGACTCTACTCTCTCCATGTACACGTAGAGCAGCATAAGGGCCATTTTTATTAACTCAAATATTTCTCTCAACAAAGTTCCAGAGGTTTTGTTTTTCAACGTAGGCCAATACCCCCACATTAAACAGGGTTAGGATAGGCATTACATATTGATATAGATAGACCAACAGTACTAATGGAAGCCTTTGCATTGAGAGTGCATGGGACCTTTTTAAAAATGGTGTTTCAGATTAAAGCTGCATCATGACACACTCTTTAACCTGATGTTCATATCCTTTTGGAAACTGTTGGCATCAGTGATACTGGTTCATGTCCTATCTGTGAAACAGGTCTTCTTCCTTTTTTTGCTCCTCTTTCTTGCAGGGTCCCACAAGGGTCTAATTTAGCTACCCTGTTATTTCAAAGTCCAACAAAAAATGTCACCCCAGGCAACGCCCCTGGAAGAATGAGACACAATCTCTCAAGTCTCCCGGAATGGAAACTCAAAGAAACACTTTCAAACTGAATATTAAGTTATGAACTCAAATAAGTAATTGATGTTTGTGGTTCTGTATACGCACATCACGCAGGTGCAGGGCAGTGCAAAAACAGCAGAAGATGAAGAAGAACATAGGCCTGAACACTTGTTCAAATGCCAAACAAAGTTTTTATTCATCACAACTTTTCAGCCCGAGGTCTTCTTCAGGTGATCACATGTTCGTTCTCTGTGTGCTGTTAGTTTTGACTGACACTGGTCAGAGGTGCACACCCTTAAAAACAACCAGATGTAGATGAGCATTCAATGATTCTTTCATCAAAACTATTTGTCCCACTGAGGCTGCCATACAGAAAAAGTATGCATTCAGTGTAGAGTCAAGCACTTTAGATAAAAGCTTCCTTTAGGAGCTGCACTAAATATGTTGTATATAATATTTCTGGATGAGTTTGAAGTTAAGTGTGTCCCTCATATGCGCTCTCAGACCTCGGGCGTGCTGCTGGCAAACGAAGCAGACGTCTGCTGATTGGTTCATTAAGAAAGCCATGGCTCTCAGTCAAGGTCAGCACACTCTCCACACACACTGAGCGCCCCTCTCTCCATCGAGATGGAAAATGCTAATGACAGATTTTTCATCATCCCGAGAGTCTTTGAGTGCGATGTCCCCGGCATGAACCGGACCGAACCAGCTGTTTGGGAGGGTTAGGGGCCGGGGGGCAGAAAGCTGTGAGCTCAGCAAACATCAACCTCGGCTGCCTGTGTGCAGAGGCCATTACAGGAGTCTGAGAGGAATACTGAACAGCCCCAAGATGAGTGGGAGGCAACGAGACATCATGCAGACAGGGGGGGGCGGGGGGGGGGGGGGGGTCTGCAGGAGGCACAGAGCTGAAAGTGCTTTGGTGGTTTCAGGTTGAAAAGATAGATAAGGGAGTAATGAGAGTTAAATAATACTAATTAAAAATTCACACTTTACAGATATGATGAGATGAAAATAAATCTAGGACTCTGCAGACGTGACAACGCAGACGCACTCAGAAATTAACTTTCTTGAACACATAACTCTATATATGCTAATGTGAGACTCCTGGACCGTCTGAACAGCTGTGCTGCTCTGCTACATGTGATGGTAAATGGACTTGATCTTGGATATTACTTTTCTAGTCTTCTGACTACTCAAAGCTCTTTTACTCTGCAGGTCACATCTACACATTCACACACTGATGGTAGAGACTGCTGTTTTCTTTTGTGTATCCAGGGTTTGAATAGACCTATTTGTGTGTGCCTCAACCACATCCAGGGACAGGATGGGTCCCCATTCTCTAGTGCTGTTATTTTTGGAGGTCACAGGCTGAAAAGATTTGAGGACCCCTGTTCTAGGATACACCACGGGAGGGTCTTACATACATTAAAAATGACCTTTAAAGTGCGTTGAAGGCCTTTTGAATATTTGTTTGGTGTTTGAATGTTTCCTTAAATTCTTTTTGTCTTTGATTTTATTGTTGCAAATGGAGCCAGGTGCTCAATCAATCAATCAATCAATCAATCAATCAATCAATCAATCAATCAATCAATCAATCAATCAAGACTTATAGTTCAGTTTTTGTGTTGTGTTCTTTAAAAAGGGCATTTTGATATCTCATTTTAATACTGCCTATCTAATTTTTAAAAATGTATTATTAAAGTGACTGCACTTTTAGTGGGTATCTTTTGTAAATCATGGGGGGGTGGAAGGGGGGGGTGTATAAATATTAATCCTAAAATATCCCAGTTTTACAGGTTACAGGTCAGATAAATACAAATTCTTATATTAATGACACTTTTAGATTTGTAATGCTCTGACATTCGTTTCCATTGATGTGATTTAATGTGCACCATAAATATTACCCCTACCCTGGGGGGCTGTAGACGGACCCAGCAGGCGACCCAGGTTCGAATGGTATATGGACTTACTCTTGTATAGTCCTTTTCTAGTCTTCTGACTACTCAAGGCACTTTTACACCACATGTCACACCTACACATTCACACACTGATGATGAAGCAGTGGGAGCAACTTGGGGTTAAGTGTTTTGCCCAAGGACACATCAGACATGTTGCTGCAGGAGCTGGGGATCGAAGCCCCGACCGACTCTACCAACTGAGCCACAGAAAACCTATGGAACCCCCCCCCCCCTCTCTGATTTTCTGATTTCTGATCCTCTGCCCAAATCTTCAAAATAAAGGCATTAAAAAGCCCCAAAATAAACATTTGAAAAATGTATATATTACCCCTACCCTTAATAATATTAAAGTAAATGTATATATTTTCATGTTTTCTACAGTGATATTAGATGGACTTACATTCATAGCTTGTTAATAATAATATGTTCCTTTTATTACATTTCTTATATAGGCTTACAGTGTAGGCTACTTTAAATTAACCCCACCGTCACCAAAGTTAAATCAGCCAATCACAGAGTGTAGTTCACCTGTGGTAGAGTGGTGTTTCCCAGATCTTTGGTCTGTGTCTGGGCTTGTTTTGATGCTGCAGTGGCATCAAATTAGGTAAAATATCGTCAAGCGTTTTCATGAACTCCCACAATACTGTTTCCTGTTGCCCAGACAGCGTGCGTTTAGATACAAAATAAAAGTCCACCAAAGCGAGACTGGAACGCGGGAAGTGCTTGCTGCAGCATTACGTGAGTAAAAAATAAATAAAAATGTTACTATTATTTTATTAAATGACTGCTATCACACTTAAGCAAACAATGGAGTTACACAATCGTATACCTCCCTCCTCATTTTCTATGAAGCTGTTTTTTGCAATATTATGTCCTATTACACAAGCAATTGGTATGAGCCTGTATGCTCACAGTGCAGGTTTTAAACATATGGAATGGAAAAGTAGCTAGTCATTGAAAACTTTGACGACCTTAGACTTGTGGGTTATTATTTTGAAAGTACCAAACAGGTAAATCCTGTGTCTTACAGCTGAATTTATGGTAATTTAATTTTTTCACAATTCATTTGTGTTAATATTATATACCGTATTCTTTGATTTGTGCTGTAATTTGATTTTCCTAAGTCAAATGTGTTTATTGTTCTTCAAGGAACTATGAATGTAGTAAATGTTTGCCTTACAGTTTGTAAATTTGTATAAAATGATAGACTGAAAATATTAATAGACAAGCCTGGGGTCACTCGTCTGTTCCTGCAGGGGGCTTTGGAGCCTTATCCATGGTGGTCTCCATGCTGGAAATCCTGTCTCATCCTAACTTTCAGTCAACCTAACGACAGGCTGAGAGCTGGAGCTGAGGCGGGTTTTAAACCTCCTGACAAACCGTTACACTGCGCCCACCTGTCAATCAGGTCATCTTATTGTGAATAACTCTTATCCTTCAACAAATCAAAACGGATGACTTACTAAAACATTCACCCCCCCATACAGTGTGTGCAGATTGAGACATCTTTTGTTGTTTTGTACCAGCTGTAAACATGTTAATCTCTGCTGTAAAAACAGGCTTTTTTTAATAAGTGTATATGTGACTTCCTGTGATTCTACAGCCAGCCTCTAGTGGACACACAACGAACTGCAGGATTTTGCACTCCTGCTTGTGCTTCATTTTTAACATTCGAGGTTGCTGTATGGTTGTAATAGAGCCCAAAAAGTTGTTTTTAAACCCAATGTTGAACTCTCTCACAAGGCTAATAATAACTTTATTTATATAGCACTTTTTAAAAACACATGTTTACAAAGTGCTTTGACAAACAGCAAAAACAAGAACAAACTAAACCAAACACAGAAGAACATAAACAACAGCAAGAACATAACAAATACAAAATACTAAAAATAATTAAATACAATTCAACAGAAAAGAACCCAAAGTGCACGATACCCAACAGACATATATAACCCGACCATATAGCCAATAATAATATTCATAATAGCAAATCACAGATCCAGATTTTAGGCCACTGGGGTGACCAATCAGATTTCTAGGTTGCCCCTGGTCTGGTTTAATATTAAGAACAAACGTGCTGGATGTCCATTTGTGTATGAAGCATGTGGTGGTTTGACGGTGCTTTTACTCTGAAATGTAACCGGAAGTGGTTTTGTTATTCAGGCTGGCTTGCATACCACCGTCGGTGTTAGCCATCGAGGGGGCTAGCAGCCTGTTATGGAAGAAGAAGGAGCACAACCGAGGGGCTCCCTGACTCGGACTAGTTCTGATTCTGAGGCGTGATTTGGATAGATAACGCTACAAAACCGGAAGTCTGGGTGAACGTCTTCCTGGCGGAAAACAAAAACAGCACAGAGGAAAGCAGCCTCGGTTATAAGTACAACATGTATCCAAAGGCTGCGAGGCGTCCGAGAGTTACCCGCCGCCGTCGAGCTTAGCTCCCCGGCTGCAGACCGACAGCGGCGGAGGATCTTTGTTCGAGAAACCCGGGGTTTCCACTCTGCTTTGACCGACGTGACAGCTCTACCCTCGGTTAGTATCGACCACCCACCGAGGGCACACTGTCTTATGGACTCCTTACGGTAGTTTTTTTTTGCTTTTTTTCGGTCCCTTGCTGACGGACGCGGCAGTCAGTCATGTTTTCCGTGCGGATCGTCACCGCAGACTTCTATCTGGCAAGTCCCGTCAAAGACCTGGACGTGTGCTACTCTGAATTCAGGGAGAGCGACGTGAAGAAAGTACCGGTGGTGCGGATATTTGGAGCAACACCCGCAGGTGAGACAACTCTTGTTGTTTGCGTTTTTTTGTGTTGTTGACGCTTCAATGGTGGCGGGGCTTTTCCTGCAGCGTGTTAACGTGGTGGAGTCTGCAGACACATCCACACTTAGTGTTGTTCAGAGTAAACATAACGGGGTCTGTTCAGCATGCAGAATGACAACAGGAAGATGATTCAGGGTGTTGACACAATGTATCACCGCTGTCGCTTTGCATACAGGCTGCAGTCCCCCTCCTCTCCTTCCTCACACGGCTGTGGGCTTTGTGTTCGCTCCCCCTGCTCCTCCATGGCGCGGTGGACACTTGTGCTTTAGTCTTCCACATGTGGCATTCAGGGACAGCTTGCAAAGGTGGTTTTTTATTGTGCTAATTGCAACCTGTGGAGTGTGGACGGACAGGAGTACAACATGCAGTCTCCTCCCCTTTTAGATTTTCTCCCCTTTTTTGTTCTGTATAATCTAAATTAGAAGACAGTCGCAGAAGACATTGAATGAAGCGTTGTGGTGAAATAACGACTGCGGCAGCTAAAGAAATCAGATGTGAAGAGCAGAGATCGAGACAAAGGGGGGAAAAAAATTGGGATTCCGTCAAAGCACTGTGGTGTCATTCAGAAGCAGGAGCCACAAAGACAGTACATTAATATGCAGCATGTAACAATGAGGGAGACCTGATACAGGAAAGTGATCGTGAAAGGAATGTTGGTGTCATTAACCCAACAAATCCTTTTGTATGCAGGACAGGGCTCGCAGATTCCTGCTGTTAAAAAAATCATGCTCATACACTGTGTGCATTGCCAAAGGAGGGGCTGACACAGCTTCAACATATAGGTTTGTTTTTTTCTTTGAGGTTTGCCACATGCCCTGCTCTCTCAGAAAACCCATTAGCCCACCACTCTGAGTACCTTTAATCCCATCTCCACAAACAATAGAATCATTTCCTGCACAACAGCTCAGCATTATTACCCCGGCTAAATCCTCTGGTGACTTTTGTTGCCCTCTCTCTCCAGCCTGTCTGACAGGTGAGAGCACCAGTCAAGTACAGTGACTGTGTATTTTTAGCAGGGTGAGTCCCCTGGGGGGGGGGGGGGGGGGGGGGGGGGTTGGGCGGTAAAATGGAAGCTAAGTTTGTCCCTCATGCTGTTGCTTTTAAAGCAACCGGATGTGCAGGAGACGTGGTGGACAGTGGGTCAGGGTGAGGGTGTCAGCGTTAATTAGGTTTCTGACATAAAATACACGTTCACATTCAAGTGTACTGATTTAAAGGAAATACACACACACACACACACACACACACACACACACACACACACACACACACACACACACACACACACACACACACACTCTGCAGCAGAGCTCATTGTCACTGAATGTTCCTGTGAGAGGAATTCACTGATTCAAGCCAGACAAACCTAAAACACCTCGGTGCATTGTTCTGTAAACAAATATGAGATTTAAATGATTTGTGCGCTGGGGGGCGCTTGAATTAAGGGGTTTGTGCGCTGAGAAGAAAAGGGCTCCACGTCCATCCTGTCTCTATGACAACAGTCTGTTGATAATGGTTGTTGTATGTCTGTTACTTTTTACTGCATGTTTATATCGTTTATTTCCCGATCAGACACGGAGCAAAAGAGGATTGTGGATACAAGACACGATCCGTAGGCGGCAAAACTACAGGGAATATCCTACAACTTGGAAAAGAGCACCGGTGACATGAAGAGCTCTTGTCTGAAAGATTTTCAACTCGAGCGCTCGGAGCTCATTTGAAACAATTGGAAAAAAAGATGCTGGGTTGTCACAAGGCCTTTAAACTGCAGGAAGGACTGAAGGCTGCTAACACTGCTAACGTTAGCCACATGTGGCAAACCAAATTACCTTGTTGACAATTTTCAATACATTTTGCGTCTCTCTGTTTTGTCCTTTTTATCTTTCTGTCAGATTAGCGGGTTTAATGGAGTTTCTGTTTAACAGACATTGAGACTAGTCGTCTAAGAACATCCTTAATATCAACCAGGCTCTACTTTTCAACTAAAGCATGACAATGATGCAGATTATTTTCTATTCGGAAAGGGATACTGATCAAGGATTTCCACATCATCATCCTCCCCCCTTGAGTTATTCCATGCATGTACAGTATGCATGCAGCACAGGCAGGCCAGCCCCCGGATGTTAACAAACAGAGCAGAGGGAAAAAAAAGCAGGAAGTGTAGCATCGAATTACACAGGGCTGATTGGGGGGGTGTGCACAGCTCAGGTCAGGGTAGGACAGGAAACCCAAGGCCTGGGGTTGAAGGCATGGCCACATGGTGCAGATGCTCTGCTGACCGCTTACACCAGGGTAAACACTCTGATGAGATCAAAATCTGATTCACATTAAAGTGCTCATGAATTCCTCCCTTCAGGCTGAGCAATAGCAACACAATGAAGGCAAACACTCAACTCGTTCTGGGTTTGGTGAAGCCTGTTGCTGAGCTCAGAGAAACAGAGAATAAGAGAGAGAGAGAAAGAGATTCCTCTCCGCTCCAATGTGTTCCAGATGGTGATGTAATTTTATTTCTGGAAACGCAGAGTTCTGGCTCCGACTCCGGCTCGCCACAAGTGATACATTAACTGAGAGGAGAGTCAAACTGTGGAAATCTGCAGGGCACAAACTACAGACACTGCTCCATCATTATTGCATCTTGAAGCAACACAGAGGTTTCTTTTAAACCACATATATAACGGGGAGACAATGCAGACTGCTGTGTTTGAGTACATACTCGTGTGAGAACTCGATCAGTGCAAAGCTTTAAAGGCTCCAGCACTCACACTGGATTTCCTGGCACCTCCTCTGATGAGGTTTGTACATACACATAAATGCTCTCGGATCAAAATGTAATCTTTCCGTGTATTACTCTGATCCATTTACCTGCGTTGTTCCACCAGCCTTGTCCTGATGTTTTTCAATGATAGCTCAAACATGCACGTTGTCTTGCCCTGCTGATGAAGCTCCCAGACGTTGCCCGCTGTCTTCTCTCTTGTTAATCAAACTTAGTCCACAGGCTGCCTGACTGTTTCAAGGCAGACAGCCTCTGAAACACAGACTGTTAAAGAGGGAAATGTTGAGCTTCTTTTATGCCACATGGAAGACAGAAAATAGGGGTGTGATGTTTGAAGGATGTTTTGGGTGTGCTACTAACCAAAGAAGAAAAGAGAGAGACAGCAGTCCCGTCAGAGAGACCAAAAATGTTCAAGAAATTGTGACAAGCGGGGGGAAGCTCAGCCGCCATTTAAAAGTGTCTGTGATCTCCCAACACGTTAGCTTCTGACATGGGACTTCTATTCTTATGTGCTTGTCATTGTTTAGCTCCTTGTATACTGAGTTATCGCAATAGTGCCTTTACAAAGTTCTGCCATCATCACACCTTTTGAATATTTGTGCGATTGTGGTTTGAATAAAGAAACAGAATGTATAGTTTTTCTAAGTGTTTGTTCATCACCACCATCTCAAAAATATATTATTCAAGGTGTTAACCTCCACACGCTGTGCTAAATGTGGTTACACATTGCTCCGGTCGATATGCCAGTTTAACCCCGATACAGCCTACATATGACTTTAACTCCACTATCAATATAGTGCCAAACCGCGCTGCTCCTACTAGATGCTATCCGTTCATTGTGCTTGTTTACATCCGGGTAGTAGAGCGAGGAGAGCAGGCCCATTAACCTGGATCCACAGCTAGTATGTGACTACAGCCCCGGCTAGGGGTTGGCATCGACCGGCATTTTAAAGCCAAAATATGAATAATTTGTTTAACATTGAGCATGGACTTTTGTCGGCTGTGATGTTCTGTCACATGTGCTGCAGACAGTGAAAGTGCTGTCAACTATAGCCCTGTTCAGACTGCTGTTTCAAGACGCCATATTTACATCCCTGTGATGTTTCGCCTTCAACTTGCTTGTCATGGAGGCGTGATGGGGGGGACGAAGTGATCCCACCTCTGCACTGCAGCACTCTGTGTTAGTTAGGGATGCAACAATACAGTCAGCCCACAGTTCAATACGTACCTCGGTTTTTTGGTCACGGTTCGGCCAGGCTGTTAAAATGTTTCCAGTGTTAAGTATTTTAGGCAGATTTTACAGAACATCAAGGGATTTAGAAAGAGAGTTACTTTTTTTCATTTTAAAACTATTTATTTTACTTTGAAGCAAAACAAATTCAGGTGCTCTCCTTTCAGCCTACTGCAAAGTCAGGTTTGATTTGAACATGAAGTAAACTACAATTATCTCAATGAATGTCAACAAAAAAGTGCATTGGTGGCACACTGTTATATTTCTCTTTTAGTTACGATTATCGCTCCTCTCTTATTCTTGTAATGTTCAGTATCGTAAATATTTTGAGTATTAACAGCAGCTCAAACGATTGAAGAACACTTCAAAAGACATCAAACGTCACACTGAAGGTTCAGACGTGTTTTATGAGCAGTTTAGAGTTTTTAATAAGAGCAGTGAGGGTGATGCGCAGACAGAGGAGCACTCAGTTGATGTTGAAAGACATCAGTTAGTTAACAGACAGCAGCCTGCCATGTAGTTCACATACTTCACTGGTTAACATGTAGACTGTGGAGCAGATGATCAATTTCACTTTTTGTTTCTTGTCCGTCCACTTATATGCGTAATGGCACGTCCCCTGACTCTTGCTCACCCGTATAGCTCTCTCTCCCTCTCACGTTTGCGGACCCTCAGTTATCTTTTAATGCATGTTTTCGACATAATGAGGGAGAGAGGCTTTTGAAAAAAGGGTGTTTGTGGTGGTTAATATACCTGGACGAGTGGGAAACACTGCGCAGTACATGTTTTCCAGGAGCGCACACTCGCTCTACACGATCAGAAACTGGTTTATAGTGTAACGCTACTTGAGCAATGACTGCAGCCTGTATGATCTATAGACTGTCACTGTACCGGCCCTGGCGGCCCTTCAGGCAGCCCGGCCCACCGGGAATTGTCCTGGTTCTCCCGATT